AAATCTTTTTTGCTCTAAAAAGATTTCACATTTTAAACTCCCATTTGTATTCCAAATAACTTTCAACTCTTAAGCAATTAACTGTTGCCTCATCTACATGGTTACCCAGCTGCTATAATGGCCATGCAATCAGCAAACTTCTATTTTTATGAATTAGTTTTTTTGGCGCTGTGCTAATGAGTATTTAAAGAAATAAGGCAAAGAAAATAAACTTTATTCTTCAAGATTGTTTGAGTGCCATTAAAAACCACAGTGAAGGAGGTAATTTCCAGAGTGAAAAATGAAAATAAAAATTCTTTGGGCGAGATCTTACCCTCTCAGTAAATGAAAATCTGTGTGTAAAAATAAATAAATAAATAACAACCGTAAGGGTCTCCTCTTTATAGGAATTCTTTCAAGTAAAAATGGAGACATCCTGTTTGCTTGTTTGTTTGTTTCTGTATCAATTCTGGTAAAAAGCACACTCCTTCCTGCTGTGGATGCCCTGGGTTCAGGTCTGCCCCATCTCTTCTGTCATCTGTTAGTAGAGTAAATGTGTCTGCACCTACTAAAGGCCAGCCCGTCCTCTGTACCTGTGTTCCTCTCCTCTGTTCACTGTGGGATCGCAGGTGGACTGTGCAGTCTTGACCTGCCCCTTTTCTTGGAGATTCTTCTCAGTGGCATTGAAACCTTGCTTTAGGCCAGTTTTCATCTAAGCTTGGACCATTGGCATCAGAATAACCTGGACACGCAGATTCCTGGACAAACCCCAGACAGGCTGAGCCAGAAAGAGAGGGGGGAGCTTGGAAACCTGCATTCTTCGCAAGCAGATTAACATTTATGAACCTCTCATGTAGCTCTTAGAAACAAGCCGTCACACAAATATCCCTGGATCGTGCATTCCTGTATTTCTCACTTCCTCTTCACAGCAAGTTTCAGGGAGAATCCCCAGTACGCATCCCTGTATCTGTACTCCTCATGTACTTGTCTTGCAGGTCTCCTCATTCTAACATGTGCCCCGTCAGTAAAACATTTCTGAGCATGTCCTCTCAATGTGTATTTATTTGTTTATAAATTATATACATATACTAGTATGCCAGTGTGCTCGATACATTATAAAACAATGCAAAGAGGAGCTAGAAAATAAGTAACATTTTTAATTTAAAAAACGTATTAACACTATATCATTTCAAGAATGTAGACATGTCTTATTTTAAATACTCTTGATCATTTTGTTTGTCAGATCTCAGTAGATTGTGATTTTTTTCGGGGGGGCATTAAAATATGGCTGTTGAAGGGGCTCATACTAAAAAAATAGATGGGTTAGCCCTGCCATTTTCTTCTTGTAACACTCCACATGTGCTTACATTGTAAGTATTAGCCTCAGTGCCTAGAGGTCTTTGAAATCTTTTTTAAGCCAGGTTGAGGGTTAAATTAGTTAAAACCGCATAGTATAATCTGTAAATCCGCTGAACCAGGCACATTTGAACTGCAGAAGTTTGTGGCATCATGGGAGCAGAAGTAGGAGTGAGCGTGCCACTGTGAACCCCTCCACTTTGTGGGACTTTCTTCCCTCAGGATGGCTTCTGTAGGCTGGGAGGGAGCCACCATTGATCCAAATATTAAATATTATAATAAATTGCTTTACTTTTTGGACAAAAAAATAATATAAATAGAAGTAATATTTTCTGTCCCTATCCCAGTGGACCACTTTGTACAGCTCCTTTGGGGCACCTGGCCCACTTCGGGACACCACTTATACCACTGAGTCTCTTAAAACTTGCTTTCCTTATTAATACTGTTACAAAACTTATTACTGAGCTCATCAGTGATCTCCATGCTGCTAAATTTAATGGACTTTTTTCAGTTCATTTTTATTTGACCGTTCGTAGTTTTTAGCTCAGTTGACCATTTCCTGGGTTTTCTCCTATTATAAGTGGTTCAACCATTGACCCCGTTGCTCATATGTGGATCATTCCCACATATTTTTCTACTTTCCTAACTGCCCCCTGACCCCACGGTTCAGTCACTAGGATTTGTTGATTCTACTTCCTACATGTTTTTCGTATCCATTCAGTATTCTACCACCTCTGTCCCCACCCTGGTTTAAGCCTCTGCTCCCTCAGAGTTCGGCAGTGGTCCCCCAGTGAGTCTTCTGAGGCCTGCTTTCTCCCCGCTACAGCTGGTGTCAGACTCAGAGAACAAAAATCTGATCATTTTACTCCCTTGCTTAGGTCTCTTTAATAGCTTCCCATTACAGTGGAAAGAGACAGGGAGGATCTAGATGCTTCCCCAGCCCAACTTCTTGCTCAGCTGTCTCTCTCCATCATTTCCCCTGGGTGCTCTGTGCTCCAGACACACTGACTTTCTCTCTGATCCTTCACAGCATGTTAAGTGTATCCCCCTTTGCAGACTCCCCGGCTACCTACACGTTGCTCCCTGTGACAGAAATGGTCTTCTCCCTTCCCTGGTTACCAGCTGCTTCTCATCCTTCATATTTTACTGCAAATATCATTTCTCCAGGGAATTCTAGTTGTACAGTTACACTGTCCTCTGTGTTTGCTTTATAACTCTTACCGTACATATGAATAAACTGTCTAACCATTATATCCCCCGTACCTAACAGGTAATAAAGGCTCCTTAAATATTTGAGTAAATTAGCATCATTGTAGCAATATTTGTTTCTGTGTCCACAGACTCCCTACTCTGTGAGGATAATGTCCTTGTCTGGTTTGGTCTCCATTATTTTTCCATCATCTAACACACATGCACACACACATTTACACACAAACATTTGTTGACTTCATGTGAAGATTCTGTCGTTTCTTGTTTAATGCCTTCCCCTTCAGACTGTAAAGTGATGATGTCTGTTTTGTGCACCCATGCCCAGTGCTTGATACAGTGCCTGACATTACAGTAAGTATTTGGTAATGGTTTTTATTTTTTAAATTAATCTATCTCTGCCTTTTAATAAACAGGTTAATCCATTCCTATTTACTGTAATTCTAATACGTTTGAACTTACTTCTGACATCTTACTTTGTGTTGTCTGTGTCCTTGTTTTTTTTTTTCTTTTTCTATTTTTGTTTAGATTGATCAAATTTTCTTCCATTGTTTTCCCTCTAAAAATTAGGAAGTTAAGTATCCTCCTTTTAGTCTTCTCATTATTCTCTTTAAATTTCTAATGCAGGTATTTACTTTATATTTTTCTACCAACATCTTACAACAAGACAGGAACCTCAGAAAGGATTTACTGTTCTCCCTTCCCTGCCACCTTTCTTAGATTTTGCTTTTCAATTATTATTATTTATTTATAACAATCGGAACTTAAGTTTAACTAGTTTGTTTGGTTTTTATTTAACTCGTTCCTGCTCTTTTATCCCAGGTTCTACTCCTTGGAGTTCTATTTATTTACTTTGGCTATATTATATTTGGGGGGGACAGTAACTTTTCTAATAATTTTTTAAAATAGGATTTGGGAGTGATATATTTTCTGCATTGTTACATATCAGAAAATGTGTTTATTTTGCCCTTCTATGTAATTAGTTTGCCTGGGTATGCGTCGTATGTTCTCATTTTCCCTCAGTATTTCAGAGATTTTGCTCCGTTGTTTCCAGTGAGACGTCTGATATCATTGAAGGCTTTTAGCATTTTGTTTTTAATCCTTTTTACTGTCATGAAATGTCACTATTACATACCTGGTATAGTTTTTGTTTTTGTTTTCCCATTCACACTGGCTCTTTCTTCAGCTTTCAGAGATTTTCCATTATTTCTTTGAGAAGTTTTTTCTTCCATTTTTTTCTACTCTACTTTCTAGACTTCCTGTTAGCTGGATTTGGGAAGTTTGGGGGTTTATCCTCAGTGTCTATCTGTTCTTTTGTACTGCATCCTCAGAAAATGTCTCAATCTGCTAATTGATTGATCACTTAGCTGTGTTTGTTCTGCTGTTTGACACACCATCTGTGCTTCATTTCAGTGTTTACATTTTTAATTTCCAAGATCCATAGTTTTCTTTCTCTGACTCCAGTGTACTCTTGCATTTCTAAAGATAGACTTTTTTTTAGTCTTTTTCTGTATTTGCTGCCATTTCCACAGGGTTCCTTCTGCTCTTGATTCTAGTGCATCTTCTCAACAATACGGGTTGTTGTAGATTCACAGGGGTCTGAGAGTCCCTGCTAGCCTATCTGTGAATACCGCATGTGGTTTCAGCCACTGTGGGGAGGGGCAGAACATGGGGCAGGACAAAAAAGTGTGTCTCTGAGCACTCGGGCGCTTTGCCCGAGCAGCACCTCTTCTGAGCCGGGGCACTCCTCTTTCCTCTTAGAAGTCTAAGCGTCCGCCCTCACTGCTCAGAGACACACTTTTTTTCTTGACAGTGGTGACCAAAATGTCTAGCTGTTCCTCCCGTGGAGCCCAGCAGCCTTCCTCACGCTCACTCCAAGGCCCCTTCCTGCTCTGCGGGTTCTCAGGCTCCTCTCTCCTTGGGATTATTTTGAGAACTTTTTATTAGAAGTTTTTGTAACCACTCTCTCTAGAGGGCCTATTGCCATTGTTTCTTCCTTTAGTCCATTTGCATCTGCCTTTCCTCTCAGGAATTCCTTCAAATTCCTGATCTCTTGAGAGTAGTCCTCGGTAGCTAATGCGCTATAAAGTTCTAAAAAAATTGTCGTTTACAGGGATTTGAAGTGGAAACAGCTGTCAGATGCATTGCTTAGAGTGCTGTCTTGTCCCAGGTGTGTGGTCAGGAGTTCAGCATATCCCCGTCTAAATATTTATATCCTCAGTAACATACTTTCAGATGAAAATATAGACATGTCTTAGACTGCGATACAGATATGGCTGTCTCCTAATACTAATTTTGTAAAGGTTTTGGGTATAACTATTATATTTCAGTGAATCCATACATTCTTTATCTGTGAAATCATAGAACCCATGTGTTTTTATTATGTTTAACATAGAACCGGTGTTATTATTTTTATAGCATATGGAGAAAAGCTAATTTCATTATTTTCTTTCTGTTAGGTTACTACTGGTGATTCAATCATTCTAAAAGCTCTTCAGTCCAACATTCAGCATGTACTGGTCTATGAGAACCTTGCTGTCCAGGAGAAAGTGCTGGCTTGTATTCCAGTCCAAGAACTAAAAAGGAGATCACAAGAAAAGTTATCTAGAGCTAGAAAATTGGATAAAGGTAGTGGCTTTACATAACCATTCATTGCTAAATACGCATCATTGCTAAATAAATGGGAATGCTGAAATGGTGCCTTTTGCTGTTTACATTGTAAATACGTAACCCAGTTCTATTTGGATTTTTAAGAAGTACAACAATAGTATAATTTTTTATTGCATACACCTCATGCACACTGGAATGTGTATTTGCAGTTTAATCATTGATATGTGATTTTTTTTTCCAGATATAGTAGAACTTTAGTCCATGGAATATGTGATGGCATTATTAGAAGATTTTAATGGGAATCGGAGAAAAACCTTACTCAAAATTAATTCATGTGATTAGACCACTGACTCCCTTTAATAGACAGTTACTGATAAAGAGTGTGGATATAGAAGCCAGCTACCTGGGTATAAATTCAGCTCTGACTCTTACAGTGCATCACTGAGCAAGTAATTTAATCTCCGTACCTCAGTTTCTTCATTTGAAAATAGGAATGATAATTTCAAGAGATAACTGAGATAGTACATGTAAATGGCTCAGAACAGTGCCTGCCACATTCATCAAGCAATAATGATTTGTTGTTTTCATTCATGGTCTTAGGATTTTAGTTGTTAAATGTTTCCAACTTCAGCATTTTTACTTTGAGTTTTTATGTAACTGGTTTTTATCTGTTAAGTCATTTCTTAATACTGTCCTTTCTAGGGGATTCTGTAGTGTTTTTTTGTTGGTTGCCCTAGTTTACAGTAAACATTTTTTTCCAATTTAAAAAAAAATTTTATCTTATATTGGAGTATACTTGATTGATAATGTTGTGTCAGTTTCAGGTGTACAGCAAATTGATTTAGTTATACAGATACATGTATCTATTCTTTTTCAGATTCTTTTCCCATGCAGCTTATTGTAGAGTTTTGAGTAGAGTTCCCTGTGCTATACAGTAGGTCCTTGTTGTTTATCTATTTTATATATAGTGGTGTGTGTATGTCAATCCCAAACTCCCAGTTTATCCCTCCCCCTCCTTCAAAAGCATTACGCTGCTTCGTGTGTAGTGCAGATACGTTTCAACAGAATGCCTCAATTCTTCCTTCCCATCCCTTGAGACTCTGCTGTCATTCATTTCACTTACCCAGACACTGTAATCACTCAGTACATTGCTATTGTTATTATTTAATCCGTTACTTTTTAGACTAAGTAAGAATGAGAAAAATAACAGATTTTATGCTACCTTCATGCATTCTTCCCCCGATGCTCTTCCTGTATGCAGGCCGTCACTTTTCTTCTTCCCGAAGAGCTTTTTTTTTACTGTTTCTTTCAGGGCAGGTATGCTAGAGGTGAAGTCCTTCAGTTTTTCTCTGCCTCGGAAAGTCTATTTCTCCTTCACTGTTGAAGGATAATATCACTGGGATGTAGAATTCTAGGTTGGTGGGGGTTTTTTTTCTGTCAATGACACTTTAAATTTCTATTCACTCTGCTGCCTGCTTGTTCATGAGGAGAAGTCTACCGTAATTTCTATCTTTATTCTTCTCCCACCTATGCCCCTCACCTCCCCCCCCCATCCCCAGCTTCACTCAGGATTTTCTCTTTGTTTTTAGTTTTCTTCAGTTTGCATATGATGTGCATATGTGTAGTTTCTTGGTACTTATCCTGGTTGGTGTTTTCCGAGCGTCCCAGATCTGTGGTTTGGTGCCTTATTAATTTTGGAACATTCTCGGCCATTATTACTTCAGATATCTCTTCTGCTCCTTTCTCTCTCTCTTTTCCTTCTGATATTCCAAAATAGGGTATCCTATTCAACCTTGATTTATCAACCGTTCCCCACCATTGTTAGATGTTCTGGTCCATTTTTAAAATTCTCCCACCATAATTGGATGTTCTAGGTGTTCTGTTCCTTTGTTTGTTTTTATTCTCTTTTTTCCTCTTTGATTTTCAGTTTGGGATGTTTCTGTTGACCTGTCTTCAGGCTCAGTGATTGTTTCCTTGGCTGTGTCCAGTCTACTGATGAGCCCGTGAAAGGCATTCTTTATCTCTGTTAGAGCATTTTCGGTTTCTAGCATTTTTCTAGAGTTTCCATCCTTCTGCTTACATTGTTCTTACATGTTGTCTACCTCTCTCATTAGTGCCCCAAACATATTAATCATAGTAATTTTAACTTCCCTAATTCCAAAATTTGTGCCATGTATGAGTGGTTCTGATGCTTGCTTTACCTCTTCAGACTTTTTTCTTGCCTTCAGGTTTTTCCTTGCCCTTTAGCATGCCTCGTAATTTTTTGTTAAATGTTGGATACGATGTATTGGATAATAGGAACTGAGGTGAATAGGCCTTTTGTGAAAGGTGTAAATGTCCATTTTACTAGGAATTGGACACCGTTAACGACATTGTGTTTAGTGTTTGCTGTGTCAGGGGCTTTGGGTTCCTCTGGTGTTCTTGGGGTCCCTCTGTTGTCTGTGGGCTTCCCTAAGGACCCCTCCTTAGCTCGAGTCTGCATCCTGCAGATGGTTTAGTTGTAATCATCCCCTGTTGTTGTACCGGAGTCCTGTTGGTGTGGTGGTGAGGTGTGGGAGAGGAGCATTCTGTAATCTTAGGGTTAAATCTCAGTGTTTTAGGGGGCCTTATGCTCGGGCCTGTGACCCACCCCCCATAGGTGAGACAGGAAGGCCAGAGGGGCCTAGAGTCAGAGAAGTGCCCTTTCCCCAAACTTACTTAAGCTACAGGTTTGTTGTGAGACCTTGAAACAGTTGTTCCTCTTCTTGAATTAACAGGGTTTTTTGGGTTTTTTCTATTTATAAAACAAGGATGCTTATCAGCATGTGGTCACGGAGGCTCTGTCATTTCAAAGTACTATGGTCCTGTACGTGATGCCTGACATACATGCCTATTTAGCAGGTACTTACTGTCATGTTGTGTGTGTGCTGAGCCCTGCAGAGGAGACATAGTTAGCCATGTCCCTGCTGACGTTTGCCCTGGCATTTTTTCCCTCTAATTATAAAAGTAATACCTGTTTTATGTAGAAAATTCAGGAAGTAGGGGGAAGATAAGCCATCCATAATTTCATCACATCAGAATGCAGCTTCTAAGATTGTGTATACAGTTGACCCTTGAACAACACAGTTTGAACTGTGCGGGCCCGCTTACACGCAGATTTTTTTCTCTAAAGACATACTACAGTACTACATGGTCCAAGGTTGGTTGAATCCGTGGATGTGGAACCACAGAGGGCTGACTGTAAAGTTATACTTGGATTTTCCACTGCGTGGGGGAGATCAGCACCCATAACCCCTGCATTGATCAAGGGTCAACTGTATATCCTTTCACACTTGAAAATATAAGGGCAGGATAATGGCGTTTTAATGTAAGTACGGAAGAAGGAACACATCTTTTCTTTTCTGGTAGAGGCATTGGCAACTGCAAAGGCTCCATGGGTGGGAGTGAGCTTGGCACGTTTAGAGGATGGAAGGAGGGCACCTGGCATAGCAGAAGGAGCAAGACAGAAAGCTGAGAGAGGCAAAGGGGGTACATTAGTTTCCTGTGCTGCTGTAGCAAATTACCACAAACGTGGCTCCTCGAAACAGCAGGAGAGTGCTGTCTCACAGCTCTGGAAGCCAAGGTGTGGGCAGGGCTGGAGGGGAGAAGCTCTCCCTGCCCCTGTCCGCTTCTGGGGGCTGCCTGCAGTCTGGCTTGTGGCTACACCACTGCAGTCCAGAAGACCAGCATCTTCACACCCGGCTCCTCTGCCGCTGCGTCACCTTCCCCTCTGTAAAGTGTCCCACTGCTTCCCTCTTGAAAGGACACGTGTGATTGCATTTAGGGCCCCCATTTAGTACGTAGGATAATCCCCCTGGCTCAGAATCCTTACTGCATCATATCTGCAGAGGCTTTTTTTTTTTTTTTTTTTTTGCCTTGTTTGGTAGGATTCACGGGCTCCAGGGGTTAGAGTGTGGATATCTTGGGGGTTTTTTTTTTTTTTTTTTTTTGCCTTGTTTGGTAGGATTCACGGGCTCCAGGGGTTAGAGTGTGGATATCTTTTGGGGAGCCATTTTTCAGCCTACCACAGGGGCCAGCTGAAAGAACGAGAGTGGCGACTTTGGGTTGTATTCTGAATGAGATGGAAACCCATCGGAGGGTTTCAGTCGACTCAAGCTACCTTGCATTCTTAAAAAGATCACCCTGCTGTAGGGACTCGTTGGAGAAAACAGGATGAGAGTGCTGTTTTTCTTAAAGTTCATTTTTAGTCCAGCATTCACGAATATCTCCTTGTTGAGAAACTTTCATGTTGTACAGGAAAAGCTGAACTCTCCCTGGCAGTCAGTCCTCTACCTCCTCTTCTGCAGGTAACAGCTATTACCACATGACGTGTTCCTTTTCATATCTTTTCCTGTGTATTTCCACCCATAAATAGTTATCTGTAAAAATAAATAAAGTTGCATGGGTTTAATAAAGTGTATCATCTCTCATATATTCAGCTCCGTGGTGATTTTCATTTACTGACATGCCTTGGAAGTCATTTTCCCTCCCCCTAGTGCTCTGTAGTGTGCATGCACTGTTATTTATACAGTTCCCCACTGATGGACACCAAGATTTCCCTGTTCTGAAGGCTGCTGCAGTGAAGATCCTTGTAAAGCATGCCTGCCTACATGAAGGAATGTTTCACTGGGTTAGATATAAAAGTATCAAGGGTTGGGTGATACTTTTATGCTACAGTGGATCCCTGCCAAACAAATTGCCTTCCAGTTTATACCAGAAGTGTCTGGGAGTGTTTGTTTCAACTTAATGAAATTATTGAACTTCTTTTATGGACTTTACTAATTTTTCTAATGGGTTCGGTTAATATTCTTACTGATTTATAGACGTTCTTAATATATTCTGGATACTTTTCTTTGTTAGACTCATTACATTTTTCTCTCAGTATTCTTTAATTTCATTCAGTGTATCTTGAAATTCAAAAGTTACAAATTTTAATATGCGAAAATTACTTTTTCCATTTTTGTTTTTACAGTTGTGTTTTGTTTTCTACACCAAAGTCGTAAACGTAAACTTCTACTGTTACTTTTATAATATTCCCTCTCTGTGTATAGTGTTTATATATATGTATTAGAATGAATGTAGTAGGGATCTGATATTTGGATAGCTACTCGTCCCAATACCATTTGTTGAACAATCCATCCTCTTAGAACTACTTTAAAGGCTAACTTTATTAAATACTGTGTATCACTTAGAAATCTGTCTTTCAGGACTGTTTGCTTTGTTTCATTCATCTCTTTGTCTATATCAGTATCACAATATTTTAATTATTAGAATTTTGTATTTTTTTTTTTTTTTTTTGCGGTACGCGGGCCTCTCACTGTTGTGGCCTCTCCCATTGCGGAGCACAGGCTCCGGACACGCAGGCTCAGCGGCCACGGCTCACAGGCCCAGCCGCTCCGCGGCATGTGGGACCTTCCCGGACCGGGGCACGAACCCGTGTCCCCTGCATCGGCAGGCGGACTCTCAACCACTGTGCCACCAGGGAAGCCCTGTAATGTGTTTTAATGTGCTGTAGACAAATTTATCTCATTCTTAGTCAAAGTTGTGTTGACCATTTTGTGCCTTTCCTCTTTCACATGAATTTTGCAGTTAGCTTGTCAAAAATTTATGAAAAATTATTTTGTAATTTCAGTTGAGATTGCATTAAAGTACAGGTTAATTTGCGGAGAGTTAACAACTTTGAGTTTTCCCATTCAAGAAGATAATGTATTTTGGCCTTTTAATATTCTCTGTAGTTTTTTTTTTTCTTCTATAGTTTTTTATTTTGAAACGTATCAAACATAAATACAAGGCTAATGTATAACAGATCAAACACCTGTGCCCAGCATCAGACTTTATTAGATCTTAGCATTATGCCATATATCTCCTTCATATGTTTTATTATTTTTAATAATAAAATATTAAAGACAAGAATGAGAATCCCCGTATATGTCCCCAAGATTGTTTTCCCCTCTCCTTCTTCCCAGAGATACCACTGTCTTGAATATGGTCGAGAGAGAGATCTTTTTATTTGATAAAGTGGATATAATAATATATGTCATGCTCACTTGCTAGGGTTGTTTTAGATAGATAGATAGATAGATAGTACACATAGTTGTGCTTTTCTGTACTTTGTGAATTATATTGAATGATGGTGAATTATATTGTGCACTTGAAGCACTAATAGAAAAGCTAATAGGTTGATTTTTAAGGTGTCCAGAATTCTGTGATTTCTGCCTGTAATACTGTGATTGTTTCATATTTACTTGTGAATATATCTGATAACAAATATAATGCAGTCATTTGAAAATGTTTTCCAAAATCGGACTTACTTTGTTACCTTCCAGGTGCTTCAGGATCAACTCCAAACCGTCAGTAGTTCCCTGAGAGGTGTTTGTATTCAGCATGGTTTTGGTCAGAGGATGCAGTAAAGTCCCACTGCTTTGAATGTGCAGTGGATTACGTCATTGTATTTCAGCCTGCTTCACAGTACACTGACAATTCTGTCCGCATCCTATTTGTGAAGACCTTTTAGATCATCTTCTGTTTTCATATATTTCAGCTTCATATTTGAGGATAAAATGCACGTGGATGTTTTTAGTTTTTTCTGCTTTAAATCTTACTTGGTTCTGTTATAACTTCTCAGGTACTAATGTAAGCGAAGAGGACTTTCTTTTGCTGGAGCTTTTACACTGGTTTAAGGAAGAATTTTTTCACTGGGTGGATGACGTTTTGTGCAGCAAATGTGGTGGCCAGACTAAGTCTAGAGGCGAATCATTGTTCCCCAGTGATGATGAGCGGAAGTGGGGTGCAAACAGAGTGGAAGATCATTACTGTGACGCCTGCCAGTTCAGCAATCGGTTTCCGAGGTGAGCATCCCCTGGACAGTGAAGTCAGAATAATCTCTTATTGGGATATGGTTAGAAGAGAATTTTATTAAATCAACTTGTCATCTTCATTTTAGTTATCAGAAGTACATTCCTCTAGGACAGGGGTCAGCAAGCTATGGCTGACAGGCTCAATCCAGCCCACATTCTATTTTTGCAAATAAAGTTTTATTGGGACACATCCATGCTGCTTCAATAGCTTATGGTCTGTAACTGTTTTCACATTACAGTGTCAAGAGTTGCATACTGGCAACAGAGACCATATGGTCTGCACAGTCTAAAACATCTACTGTCTGGCTTTATATAGGAAATGTTTGTTGACCCTTGAATATAAATTGGGTGTAGTCCTAGCAACTTAATGCTGTAAATCTTGTATTTTTACTCTTTTAATACATAAATTTTAACTTTCTGATAACAACACATAAAATAATGCTAAAACATTAGAATAATAGTGATCATTGTGATAGTAAATACAATGCTGTACTCAAAATCATCAGATGGAAATATGGAAGGTGAAAGTATAGTATAGGACCATCTTTTTTTTTTTTTTTTTTTTTTGCGGTACGGGGGCCTCCCACCATTGCAGCCCCTCCCATTGCAGAGCATAGGCTTTGGCACGCGAGG